ACTGACGCATCTGTGAAAGCTTTCGGGTAGTTTGTTGTTATATAGTCAATTTCGTTTTTGGTACTGCCGTCTGGGGAGATCCATGTCCATTTATTCTTATGGTTCTTCTTATACAGACTGTTTAAGAGAGTCAGGTTGTGTTGCAGTAAGAGTTCGACTAGTAATTCACCATGTGGACTTCTTCTTCCTTGGCTAAAGTTCCCCAAGACATGTTCCTCCTTGCATTGTTTCGCTCCAACTTGAGCATTGTCTCCCATTAGTATTATGTGGTTATTTGGATATCTTGCTAGCATTTGTGATATTTCTTTGTAGAAAAGTTCAATTTCCGTTTTAGTTGCTTTCTCTGTTGTAGCATAAATTTATATGATTGACCATAGTTTTTTATACCCCGGTATGCTTATATTAAGAATGGCTATTCGACCTGAGATTCCAATGAGCTCTTGTATGTGTTTTTTCATTGATTGCTTGATTATGAATCCTACTCTTCTTTGACCAGCCACTTCACCTTTATGGAATAGTATGTAGTCAGAGTGTTCCTCAATCTTTTCTCCTAATCTTCGCATCTCGCTAATTCCTAGGATGTCCCATTTTATATCTTCAAGAGCTTTCTCTAGTTCATGTAGGCTTTCTTCAGTTCTGAGGGTTCTCGTATTTAAGGTTGCAATGTTGAGTATTTTGTTTCTTGTTGCTGTTAGAGGGAGGTGGTCTATAACTCCCTCGGGGAGATATTTCGTTAGTTGGTTATGATTTTTAGTTGGAGTTGGTATTATTTTTGTTTGTATCCAATTTTCGGAGGCTATTATTAGTTTTTTGAAGCATTTAGTTGTGGGCCAGAACTTGCTCGGTTGACATAGTTGAGTATATTGGGTCTAATGATTTCTTTCATGTTGGTTTTGGGTAAAGGTTGTGACGGGTTACTTCCTGTTTTTATGTGCACTTTTTTATGTGCTAATGATTTTGGAGAGTCCGAAGTTTCTCTTTAACTCTTTTTGCTGTTGTTCTTCGGTTTTAACCCTATGAGTTGTTCGTATTCCGCTGCTTCCGTTTTTCCAATATTTCCTTGGAGTAGTCTTCTTTCACCCTAATGCCTTGGGGAAAGTTTTTTTTTTGTTTCTGAGTATGAAATGTTTTTTCCATTGAGTCGTGATAGAGACTGCAATTGGACAGTTCTTGTTTTCGCTTTGTTTCCCGATTTATACACATTGCTAATTTCGTGATTGTCTAAGTAAACTCCCATATCAGTAATGAGGTCTTTGATGTAATTAACTAGTTCCCTTTCCGATTTTTCCTTCTCTTCTATTCCGAAAAACACCAGGTTATTTTTACGTTTTTCTCTATCTACTGCTTTAAGTTTTTGCTCCAGTTCTGAAATTTTATTATTTTCTTCGATAATTGTTTTCATCTTCTCGTCTATTGCTTCCATGACATTTTTAGTTACCGAATAAGTTATTTTTTCAGCTAGTTTCTCTAATTTCTCGTCAAGTTTGAGTAGAAGTAATTCAATGTTTTTATCCATTTGGTTTATGTTCTTTAGGCTTGTTCAGATGGGGTAATTTGATTTATGTTGTGGTGGCTCTAATTTTTGTGAGAAGTTTTCTTCAACTTGTAGTGGCAACACTGTAGATATTAATGTCACTGTATTTAACGTCAAGTTGGTATTTGTCAGTTGGCGTTGCCTCCGTAGTGATTACATTCTCTTTGGTTGCCTCTATGATGATTTTAAAATGGTAGCTTTCACTAGTTTTGCAGCTTTTTATTTGGCAGGCGTTGACTATAATTTTCTTTATAAATATTATTGTTCTATGTATATTTTATTCTAATCTAGTAAGTGTTTAATAGAATATTTTTAAATATTTTAAAATTTCTTGCAGGATAAAAACATCGAGAAAATGATCCTTAACAGTTGCGGTATTTGAACCATGGACCGTTGTTTTTGAGGCCGATATTATAGACCACTACACCAATGTTCTTGCTAAGTTTAAGTTAAAAAACATAGATACTTTGTAGAGGTTTTGTTATTTACCCCTATCCTATTGCTCAAAGCGGTTTATACGTAACAATCGTCACACTTTGTTTACCTCTTGCAACTGTTTAAATTTTAACGATCTTGTATCACAAATTTCTGCACTGATCTCACTTCTAAATATATTTCTTGTTTTATTTTACTTTGGCTGATGTGCAAGCACTAATTAATGAAGTTTTATTACACATATACTGTTATTGTTTATGATAAAAGCAAGTTTACACTATTAGACTTTAAGTTAGAATTGATTATGTTACAGTTTTTATTTACTGTCGATAACACTTGTACATAACCGTCACAGTTAAACAAAGCAAAATTATACGTTATTCATTAATATTTATCACTTTTTCTAATTTTAACTATAAATAAAGCGGAGCGGTACCCTCAAGTTGTCACGACCTGTCACAGACCACTCTCACATTATACGGGACAGCTTAATTAGCTCCAAATATTAGTCTAGCAACTGTAGTTCATGAATGATCTTTGCAAGCAATTTTAAACCACACTATCCACTACTAAATTCTATTGTATTTATAATATTTTGATGTACAATTTTTGGGTAAGTAGCATAATTCCAAATGACTAATATCGACTCGGCTTTACATATCTACCTACAACCCATTAGAAGTCAACATTAACAGATTATCAACCGATGATTGCGTTATATTTAGGCTTTCATACTTTCGATTGTTTTTTTTTTTGGTAACAAGTATACAAATTAGCATAAATCATAGAAATGATTATAAAAAACTGTATTAGATATACATTGTAATAGCTTTTTGCTCATTTATATTTCCTTTCTCTCATCCAATTAAATGTGCCAACATATTTTCTAGCAAACCATTTGCGACCAATTGTCTTTATTTATTATACTCGATATAAGACTTGTTTTCTTCCAGTCGGTAGACTTCTTAAGGACGCTTCCAATTTGAATCTTAGATTACAAGGTAGCGACTGGATAAAATATTCATTTAAGATTATTACTCTTTTTATTGGTCCTCACAAAGGGGCCGTTCATTAATCACGTGATGTATTTTAGCATTTTTTAACTCGCTCCTTCCCCTTAGTCATTGATACGTGGCGAGGTTTTTAATTAAACTAAAAAAATCTAAATAAATTCAACTACATAATATGTGGCTATATAAAGCAAATAATAAACGGGCCACTTCATTTACAAGGAAATGAGCATGTACGTAATACTGATGTTTACATGTATATATGCATTCCTTAACGTGTTCATACTACCAAGACAATTCTATTATTACCGCAGTAATGGCGAGCACATATTTACTTATAAGTCTGGTGTTTTAATGTTGAATTACATACTATTGTATAATAGAAGCAAATACTAAATTAATTATAATAAATTCTGGTTGGAAAATTATTTGAAGGATGAAATAAAATGATATAAAAAGTAAAGTAAAGTAACAGCCTATAGGTGTCCCACAGCTGGGCAAAGACCTCGTCCGTACAGAGGGTATTAGGACATACCCCCCCACGCGGCCCCACTGTGGATTGTCGGACTTTGCATATCTTCAAAATATTTTTTTATTACTTCGAAAATATGATTTGAAATACGATGATCTGAAACTTGCTAAAAAACCTGACCTTTAGATACGAGTGTATTTTGATATCGACTGATGCAGATATATGAGTGAGTTCCTAAGTCTGCCTTATCTATTATCGTACCATATTATACACATTATCATTTAGATAAGGAGCTATGGCGATTGCGCAAATCGATCTGAACAGTAGAAAAATACACGCCCAAAGTATGACGCGTTGCGTCTTGCGTCTTGCACAATATTTACCTTGGCTCGAAGTCGATATTCTGTATCACACAAACAATTGAGTCCATTCGACAGTCTTGTTAACTGATAATTTTATATTATAGGGCACTTATCATATATATACTAATATTATATGATAAGTGCCCAATTTTATATAAGTCTTCATATCTTGGTCAATATCATATTCATTATATATAATACTATATAATATGTCATAATTCCCCAATTCCAATAAAGAAAATAAGAGTTACAAGAGTCACTTCATTTTGTTTTATTTTGATGATATGTTTTCTTTATATGAGAAGTTGAAAAAGCAGCTGGCGGTTTACCTGATGTAAGTGATAACCGCCGCCCATTGACATTTGCGACACCCGTAGTGTTGCAGCTTTGTTGCGACCTTTTGATAAAGTGGGCCGCGGCAACCCTACTCATCAGAAAAAACACAGAAGTGTAACCACAGTTCACTTTTACTCGAAGCGTATAACACTTCCACTATTAACCTACCACAATTATTTAGTGATTTGTCAACGCATAAAGACATAGCTGATTTATGGACAAATATATCATTACCTTTACTGTTTAGTCATTGTGATTTTTTGAAATATATTTGAAATTTAGTTGTATTTGAACAATGATTCTTAAGCTGTGCCAATTGTTGAGTAATAAGTAAAATGAAGAAAAAAACGAAAACAATATTTATTTAGCGATGCAATAAAAAAAGTATGCAATCAAAACTTCAAATAGATATCATTAAAATATTATATTATGTTAAGATATTTATAATAATAGTAAAAACATATTTCTCAGACTTATTAGTTAAACATTTATCGTTTATGGGACAATTTAACGTATTATAAACCTTGGTGAATTTGTGCGATCATAACGCTAAAACTTGGAACGAATACATTATAATACAAAGTTATAAAACAAGAATTACTTGATTGTGCCATATTCCAGTTATGTGTACGAGGTTTAATTTTAAATTCGAATTATATTTTGCTTGTCTTCCTTACGCAGAAAATACTAGATCACTTAGTTACGAAAATCGCGTCTTGATTTTATAAATTTAAAGATCAATTCACAAAAACAGAGTTGTAGGTTTTGTTTTTATCAATAATGCTAGTAACAATTTTATTATATAAACTCAATTAGATGCTACAATTCACTACAACTTATAATTAATTTTAATCTACAATTTCATAAACTCTCACGCATTTACCGTCCCAGCCCTCAGCTGTGGAAGTCTGAAAAGGAATTAAAATAGCGTATTATTAAAATATTTATAAATTAAAATAGCTTGTTGTATGAACATGATACGAATAACAAATATATACGAAAACCACACTTAATTTTTCTTTATTACACAATTTACAGCTTTTTATATTAGCAGTTATTCAATAAGTAAGTAGCTTTTGAATCATATATTTTTTTTTTTAATTGGCGCGAGTTAGAATGTTACCAACAAAATTTGGTTTGCATTCATACTCAAGCATGCTTCAAATATTTTGGAGCTATTAGTCTAATAAGTTTTTCTTAGTTAATTTTTGGGTGTAGCTATCTATTTGTACAAATACAATATCTAAATAGTACTAGTATTAACATAAATATAAACTATTAATTCGTTATACTTCATCCTCATTACTAATATCAGGTAAAGACCATCTATATTACTAACCACTGTTAATGTAGTTGGTGTGAATTCTCTGATGTGCATTGACTTCCTTCCGTTGTCTTCAATTTGAATCTGTATTAATTTGTTACCTTCTATGACCATTGTCGACTTAACCTGAAAAGGTAAAAGGTGAGAGTTATTGTATAAAGTATATTATGCAATATGACTACTCTTTGTCGTGGCGAATTTTCTATAAAATAAATTATCTCGCTCTCAAATAATGGAGATCTCAAATAATTCTAAAATGGCTGGGTGTCAACGCAGAAAACATTCGCAGAATATATCTTAAATAATTTTTTGCATTTTGTGTCAACAATCACACAACGCACACTGCCGTTATCGTAAAATTTATTGGAATGTTCTTCTACAAATCAATTAAGCTCAGATCTAATTAGTTCTACATTTATTAACTTCAATATAAAAGATCCTATGACATTGTGAGACACTACAATTATTCAAAAATTTGGGAGTTAAATCAAAAATAGACGAAGGGAATATTTATAAGCTTATTACTATTTTGAAACTGAGTTCTGTTTTGAACGTAGTAGTTTCCTTCTATTACAAGTCTTATATTGTGTTTGTTCTTTAGAACTATGAAATTTAATGCTACATATAAAACTACTAATGTTTAGATTATAACCGGTATTCCAATTTATACATTTATTTAATGATTCAATTAAAAGCTATTCCAATTTAATTTCCTGACAGCTTATAATGACTAACGCCCGGTTTCTGAAACACTGATAATCGTAGATGTCAACTGATCATAAAGAAGATCATTCTGTTCAATTCAGACGGTTTAACCATTCTTTCGGCAAATAAAATGAAATTTGAAATCCATTTGACAGCTGATTATATGACATCTACGATCATCAGTGTTTCAGAAACCGGGCGTAAGTTTACTGTTAAGTAAGCTTTCATCGTCATCATTTTCCTGCTCTTATCCTACCTAAATGACTTCCGTAAAACATGTGAATCATGTTGTTAGTGGTTTTGGCTAGATATTTTACGACCAGCCCCCTGGCTGTCGTTAACCCTCCTTGGGAACGAACACCCAAACTTGGAACAATTATCTATAGGCAACACGAATGTTTTTCCCCGTGTCAAAATCGAACCCAAGACCCCCGGCGCCGAAGCCAACAGCTTAGCAACTGTACCGAGTCAACATTAATTAAGCTTTCATATAAATGTAAATTCGTGCACTGTTTTTTTTTAGGACACATTTTTACACAACATTTTCTAGTCCCTATTGAATAAAATTATCAAAACTATACCTTCGTTCCATCCGCTCTCTCTTCGATAAACTCTTCGTTTAACTTAAATTTAATGAATACGTTCCTAAATGTTGTCAGCATCGACAGGGTATATGAGCCATCGTCATTTAAGGTCAGTGAGCACACAGGCGACACTGAGTTTGCAGTTTTCCGCGATAAAAATCCAACACCTGTAATTAAAATAATACTCGATATGAATATTTACACCTTGATATGAGAACATGACAACACAGTGTGCAGCTTCTGCTGTTGCACGTATGGGCAGGCTCGTGCGTTGAAGTACCTCTGCTAGCTCTAAGAATCTAGAATTCTTTTATAAACTGACGAACCAGCCAGTGTCTGATTACCATCCCACATAATGCTTTGAAATGATGTTTGAGGTGATCGACACATTAGCTTGGTGGTATAACCATGGCAACAATAAACTTGCGAAAATGGCAAACAAAGTATTTTTTTTACAAATCTGGTCCTCGCCACTTTGTCGAGTATTTACCAATACTTATAATTTAGTCTGTGGCTCATTTAAATCCACTTTAAAATGCCTTTGATGCCATTATCCTCGACAGTGTAGTTGATTTTTTGCCACTATACGATATGGTTTGTTTACAATCTATGTAGCTCAACAAGGAAATGGTTATAATTTGCAGAGTTATAAAGATGACGTAAAGATACCGGTTTTATTAGCATGTGTTAACTGCGGGTAATGATTAAAAGGCGTAAATTTCACGATTAAACATTCTAAAGGCATTAATTTTATATGCTCGAATTTTATTATGTTCCACACAGCATAGCCTATAGAATAAATTCCGGTCAAAGATCATTTGGTCATTCTGATGACCTATCTAACTAACGGAATCCAAACAATTGTTATTGTTTGAAATCTATGAATTCATTGGTTATACAGTTTTCAATTTCTGTTTTCTTTTCTTGTTTTTGCTCATTGCAGTAAAAAAAACTTCTGGCATGCATTTTATAGTTATATCATTTGACGTTTGATGTTGCTTTGATTTCATAACAGAATTGTATCAATTCCATTTTCCCTTTCCCTGCTCTTTTCGATCTCTTCATTTTTGTCGGCGTTTTGAAACAGCCTAAGTGTTGACTGACGCTTTGTTTCCAGATCCAGTTTGAAATGAGACACGATAATTCAATTTTAGCTCTCAAAAATTGTGGAGAAATATTTGGATTTCGAACAATGATTTTTTGGCTTTTAAATAAACTTCTAATATTTTTTTCGCAAAACTATCTAGTGGCCTTTTATAACAATCAATAGGCTTTGATATACCTACTTACTTCAATTGTAATAGTTACATCAACAATATCAATATAAAAGCCATTCCAACAAAACATTTAACTCGCTTTATAACCAAGGTTCGTAAAAATTTTAAATCATTACCGGTTACACCACGTACATTCCTTCGAAAAATGTATAAACTAGACACATTTATGTTGAAGGCTGCGTATTACGGATGCAAAAGAACAAGTTAATATTCAATGTTAAATGAAAAATTAAACCGAACCGTTATTATTAACAGATTAACAGAATACCCTTGATCAACACGCATAATTTGTTACAACAACATAATTATTATGCAAGAAAATAATGTCTAGTCCTGTTTTTTCTTTTTGTATTTTTCACATTTTGAAGAAAAAGATGAATAAATAAAAAGATTCAACTTTTACGTAATGCGAAAGATGTAAATATAATATGACAACTAATATCACTAATTAAACACCACTTTCAATCGTTAACTAATGATATAGTATCAATATTAAAAAGTTGAATGAAGTCCTCACCGATATATTTGAGATATTCGTCGAAATTTTCCGAAGTTTTCAGTTTATATTTTTTTCCGATGAACTGGTCCATTTTGTTGTTTCCTTCTCAGTGAATAGCACAACACGTCAGTTGTTCTAAGCGATCAGTTGTTTAATGGTAACGTATTGGACTAGTTCGAACCGAAGCGCCTAGTTTGGCTATGTTTTTGTGGATTGGTAAACATTACAAAATCGTGAGCGTAACGTTTTACGTTCTAAATAACATTGATAAAGAATTGACAATAGTTGATTATTTGTTTTTTAAAAGGATAATTTGTTTTTAATATAATTTCTTTAAATTAAAAATATTTTTTAAATAAATTTATTTGACTGCAGAAATTTTCTAAGTTTTACGATATTTTTAGAAGATTTGGCTTAATATTTGTTTACTTACGACTGATTTATATTTACTTTTTTGAGGTTAATTTAGTAAGCTTTAATAAATCAAGGACACGATGACAATCGTTTCCAGAATCATTTTAGGTACTACTTACGCAAGAAACTTCATATACACCTTCAAAAAGGAATATTAAATTAATACAGAATAACTATCATAAGGCAATATGGAACCCGTCGCAGAAAAGAATCGTTTATGTTAACCACATTTTATACTTTTATTGAAAAAAACACTATTAAACGCATAATTATTTCCGCTACCGGATTATAAAAAATGTACAATTTATCCGATTACTGTACAAATATAATCAAATAATAAATAAACTCCTGTAATTTGTGAACATTTCTAATTTTAACATGCTAGGATTTAAGCTACAGTACCACAGACCAATCGTGTAAAATGTAATTAATAATCAAAGAGAATGTAATCATTACGTTAATAATTACAAATATCTTGCAAGTTACGGGTGACACAAACTATTTGAAAGAATAAATTATTCATTTTTATTCTTTGACAATGTGTTATTTTCTTCATGATTTTTATTGTCTATACCCAAGATTGGATTCGAGTAATTGTTAAAATATTGGAACACGATTTTTTTTATTAATTATTAATTTTTAAGAAATAATATAATACCTCACTCACCAGATGTATGATATTTTCGATTCACGCCGGCCTTCTGTGAGGTCATGGTACTTTCTCAGCCCATTTGTGCAACAGCGAAGACTCTTTGCATTTTTGTGGCCCTACCATATTTACAGTAAAGTTAGGCATAATTTGTGTATGGTATTATTTATGGAAGCGATAAATTCACCGCATATGTGTAAATCTAAAAGCATACTTATTATTTGTTTATTTAATCAGTAATAATATTTCTGCAAGTATCGCGGCGTTGAAACTATGTCAATTGAAATATCTAGGAACTTCATATATTAAATATTGGTTCTTAACGGAACCATAATGTTATCCAGAGGAAATCATATTTTGATCATTAGAAAGAGTTTTAACATATAGTTTCAACCTGCCGGCGTCCGTCTTTCCGTCCGATTACAACGTAGGCGTTTTCAAAGCAAGAGTGAATAGGTTTTTACTGAGCTAGCGCGCTTACCATCAAAGGCTGCATTGCCACTTACCATCAGGTGGGATGGCAGTCAAGTGCTGGCCAGTTCTAAATAAAAAAAAATATGAATCAATAGAATTATATATTTTCAGTTAATCAACTGCAGTTACATATTTTTCAATTGTCAACAGATTTTTTTTTCTGTTTATGTCATGACCATTATACATTTAATACTTTATCATTTAGTTTAAGTATTTGAAATGAAATGAATACAATGAAATTGAATGAATAAACTTGCTCAGTTACTATACCATAGAGCATAACTTTTGTCCATCTGGATGGCGGAAAATTCCTTATAAACGAGAATGTCGTTACGTTAAGTAAACAAGACTGGCTGGTCTATGCTTAGTGTTAAATACCTTCCAACGTTTTCATTACGTTCTCAAGAAATGAATCAGTTAAATCTCGTGTTGTAATGTAAAATAATGCCGGAATACACAAAGGAAGGTTAACATTGCTCATTTTATACTGCTATTGCTCTGCGAAAAATTTCACACTAAAATAAAATGTTAAGAAAAACATTATAGTAAAAATGTATAAGAAAATAGTTTCAAAGAGCAAAAGGTGTAATTAAAGAACAGTTGCCCTTGCCTTGGCCACGAGGCAAATCATGTCTAAACATCATAAATTTACTCGTAATAAGAAAACCTACTTAAAACATTTTCCGTAATTATTACTTTTGACTCGAATGGCGTAATGTATTGTGAAGCCTGCACCAAAAGATGTGTGGATTGAACCCCACTACTAAAAACTATCGTGTTTTGAACATAGTGTTTTTCTAGTTTTCTAGTGTATAGGTGTTTTTATATTTGTACTATGTATGTGTTTCATATGCTCATTAAGAAATGAATAACCATGTATTTTTATCAGTTACCTAGAAGCTAAGCTTTACTTAGTATAAGGACGAGATAATGTGTTAGAGATAATGTCCTACAATTATATTTATTTATTTGATATTACAAATTCTCATGTCCTTTACAGAAATACAGGGTGGCTTTTCTAAAGGTGCCCAAATTAACACAGGAGGTTCAGACTCGGTAGTATAATTGAAAAAAATTATCATTTTTTATATGACATTATTTATATCTAGAATTTAATTTAATAAAATGGATACACTTACGAAAGCCTCCTTGTAGAAGTATATGCGTAATATAATATTTTTAAATATTACAAATGTAAATAAATTAATATTAAGTTTTATTGAAAGTGCACACATAATTGTAAAAAAATGACTATAATATGAAAATGTAATATTATGTAATAGTAGTAATGTTTTGTATTTTTAGTCTTAACAACTTTTTCTATTTTTTTTTGTTGTTGTAGTCAATCATAACAGGGTCCATGATGATTTGATGATTTTTAATTTTAAGTTTTACCACCTAAATTGTGAAATGCAAATAAAAAGAATAAAGAATAAAACTAGTCATCACTAGTCATCGTATACATACATACCTTTAATATGAGTTTAATATTGTACTTGGTTTGACAACAAGCGCTCTTATATTCGAAGTTAATTTTAAGTTTCGGACAAACAATATATTTTAGCGTTTCTAATGATTTTTTGACATATAGAAGCTAACCGTAGTCAAGCCAATCAAAGTTATAGTCGTGACCATTCGTGAGTACACAATGTATTATCGTTTGTCACGATCTTTAGTAATAACTATATTATTGTATCACTGGACTGATAAAAGTAACCTAACAATGATAATATATTCCGATGAATTTAGTGATAATAACATCTTGATGTGGGTCGATGTTGAAAGTCTATAAATTAACACAAAATCATATTCAATAACCTACTAGGGACGAGTAAAGCACCAATTTACATACGCATAAATGTTGCCATTCCGTGCTCTTCCACAGAACGTCAAGGTGCATACCTCGACATGGTAGAGCCACGCAGATATCGGCCACTTTAGCATAAATTGACGTTGGTTTGTCTTCACTTTAATAATTATTCTGATATGAGTCATGCCTGGAACATGTACGGTGCAAGAGGACCACGTTGGCAGCATTTAATAGGCGGTTATTAATTGACGGTTGATAATCGACAAATGATTCAAGAGCCAATAAAAGACGAATTATATATTATTAAAATCTCATTATTATATTTAACTACGAGCATTGACAGTGTTAGCAATAGATGTTTTAATTATTTCTATCAAAAGTTCTGTTATGTTTCACGATATCTTAAACATTCCATGGTAAAATAAGTGCAGTTAGCTTACACCGTCACTTTTAAAACTATTGTGTAAGAACATGTTCTGATTATTCTGTAGGATGCAGAAAAGAATGAGATGCATACATTGAATACGGATAAACATTTATGATAGGAACATTATGCGTAACAGTATACATTATATTTAGAGGTCATATTTTTTATATTTTTGGAATAAATAGACAAATTTATTTATATCTATACCATAAGCTCCTTTTGCGTAGCTCACAATAAAATAATTAACTGACAGCCCGGGTTAACTCTGTCATGGCGTGAAAAAACTCAGTCTGTCCCCAAATCACGAATGCGATAAAATCCATAGAATATTTTTTTTTTAATCAATTTAACACTATTATCATTGTTTTTATTAAGTGCCGTTATTTAAATGGTAAGCAGATAGTTGCTTTTTCTCTTCATTCCGAGTGTTCTAAACGTATAGTAAGTGTAGTGTACCTAAAAAAATAACCTTTACAACATTTAGAATACTAAATCTTTAATAGACAGTGGATAAAATATGTAATTGTGTGGATAAGAGCCGTAATAGCTCAGTGTCACGCTAGAACTCAAAACGCTTAAAACACCGGATCTGAAGCGGTCGCCGTGATCGATAACGGTCATGAAGTATATATAGCTCAGTGTCCGGGCACTCGTCTTCAATTCTGTATACTCGAGCAACCTCAGTTTGTTCCCCGGTGCCAGCACTAATGAAGTTGTTATAATTTTAAGTGCTGAATTATCACGTGCTCAGCGGTCAAGGAAAACATCGTGAGGAAACCTGCATATTTTAGAAATAAAAAAAAATATTTCGAAGATATGTGAAGTCCTCCAAACTGCAGTGTGACCACGTGGTGGACTATGACCTGATACCCCCATAGAGGAGGCCTCCGCTTTGCAGAGGAGACCTTTGCCCAGCAGTGAAACATGTATAGGCAGATACTAGCCTACTATTATATAATTGAAATCACGTACAACGCTTTAGTTTACTGTGGTATTTAGTACGTCAACTTTAAAAACTTTTAAAATGTAATCCTCCTTCTATTTTCGATCCGTTAAAATCTTTTAAATTTGAATTTTAAGTAGAATAATTAATTAACAAATAAAAATAAGAAATTTATAAACAAATAAAATAAAAAATAGGGTTTAGTTATTAAGAAAACGCTTCTATTAACAATAACAACTGTTGATATTATTGATCAAAGAGGAAAAAAGACTCATATTTGTTCCTTTTACTTACTTTATTTTCTTATTTTATGCATCAATAAAAATATTTATTATTTATTTATTAATTGCAATGGTTATAAGCTCCTGTCGTCT